TAAAAGTAAACCTCAGGTTTCCGACCGTCTCTCTGAAGTAGCCTTTAGTATTAACAGATGTCTGGTTGGAATCTGCCCGAGCCAGTGAACTCATTCTGAATGGACACCAAAAAAAGCACACAATTTTTGCTCCACATAAGATGCTTTCTCCCAGACTTCATGGATGTGACTTCTATTGTGCAGTTACTGACTATTTTATCTTCAAGAAGCAAGGGCCTCAAATGCAGTGCAGACAAGCCTCCCAGTCAACGTAATCTGCTTTTCCAGATCTATAGCTTAGCTATAAGTAGTACTAGAGCAAAGTGCTGGAAGTAGGTATTTGGTCTGGGTGATAAATAGGAGACATTTCATTTGTCGGTGTACAGGCCTTGCTTATAATAGCAGTAGCCTTGATGGCTGCAACTTTGAATTCATTAATTCAGTCAAGGGAAGGCACTGACGATCCAAAGCAGATAATTAGGCCAAAGATAGCCATCATAGCTGTTAACTCAAGGAATTACTGCAATCTCATGTAGCGGTTTATATTTCTGCCTGCACTTTCCTCTGCATTCTTTACAAACTGTCTTCACAGATGCATATATACCCTTTCTTACTGTATTGACCGCTTTATACAATGTTTACCCATGCAGTCACTCATCATTACACACTGCAGTGAGGCAGTCTTGACAAAGCCAGCCTGTAACTGCACAAGTCTCTAGCAGTTAAGCATTCCTTTTCCCCTTGCCAATTCTCCAAGTCACGCAACATTTTAAAAGTTATTAAATTCTAAATAAAGGAGATTAAGGATGCCAAATTCTATTCTGTGCTAAAAATGGCAATCAATATTTGTCAAGACAATAACGTCTTTAGGGCCAGAAGACCATTATTCTCTAGACTAATTTTTTTTCTTTTTTTGGTAAAGAGACAGTTCATAATATTTTCCAGTAACTGCTGCTTCAAACCCAGAGTTCTGGTTGTTACAGCATTTAAATTATCATACCAAATTAGGTATGTTTCTTTCTCAAAATAGAACAGTGTTATTCCTTATTAATAATGAATTTATGTTTGAAATACAATGCTTCTTTAGTTGAAAAATACAGATGAATTCATGTCAATAGCAGGGTGAAACGACACATGTATGTATACAGCAAGGTAGTGAACTATTTCTTAAAGCATCAGAGGAATGCGATAGCTGTATACTTGAACTATAACCACAATTCCCATGAACCACCATTTTAATCTATTTTTCTCCAAGATATATATTTTTTTTTCAATAGGAAGATGGGTAGCTGCTCTTTGTGCAATTATTCTGACAGTCATATTTATTATGAGAAGTTAATGTCTGTGTGCAGCAAATCTGAGAGTGGATTCAGGACCAGCCTTGTAAATGTGCAGAAAATGGGCAGAGAATGTTTATCACAGTATTTTCCATTTTTATGAGGATGCAGTTGGTTATTATGACAAGGTGAAAGGTCTCAAAGCCTTCATTTTTAGGCCACAGGTGTTCTTTGTAGAGGTTTTTTTTAATAAAGAGTATTATTAGTCCTTTAAATTAGCTCTTATTGAAAGTTACCACATCTGTGTTATGTGGTAATGAAGCCAGGGGGAGGTCATAGCAGGGGACTTGTGCTTGAAGAAAACATCTGGACATTGCTTTGACATTCACTAGCAACTTCTTGTATTTTATTAAGAAGTAAGGAAATTATACTGAAATCAAATGCAAGATTCAAACAATAAAGAAAATGAAAATACAGGACCTGAAAAAAAATGAACAAAAAACCCCTTTCCCTTCTTTCACTCTCCTCCCATGAATTCCAACCGATGAGATTAATTACCTGTGCAAATGGCAGCATCAGTTAAAAAAAATGTTCAACCAGTATTTAATACATATCTGTAACACTACAGTCATTCTGTCCTTCACAGGAGAAGCTACTGTCATTTTAAATAAAGCATTTTTTGTATTGTAATTTTTTTTGCCTGTCATTTTGTTTACTACATCATTTCAGCAAGAGGTGCAGTGACCTTAGGAAGTCCTGTACCTTTATATAGGCAATTTTTTCCTCCACTTCCCCCTGGCTGATAAAAGCAGAGAGACTTTGTTTCCTGTGCACAATTACACCTATCACTTCCACTGATGGAAGTAGGGAAAAGTCTACTTTCAACAAAAGGGGGATTTAAAAGCCATCAAAATCCTCAAGTGGAAGTTGCTGAGTAACTGCATGATCGTTCTTAATCATCAAGGCTGACAACTAAATCTTTAGGAACTATTGCATTCAGAAACTTGGCTGGGTCAGATGACTGTTCAGCTCCATAGTGCAGGCAGCTAGGAGTGTTTATAGGGCAATGGTTACAGCATGCATCAGAAATCCTAAACAGAGTAGCGTACCCATGCTCGCTATATATTCTCGGTTTAAGTGCTTGCTTACAAATGCAAATGACATTTCTGTTCTACTCAAGTTCTTATACCATATTCATCACCGCAGTAACTGAGCGTCTTCCAGTACCACAGTAATCGGTCAGGTAATTTATTTCCTCAGGCAGGGAAGCACGTATTTATCAATGCATTGTTTTAATGCCGGTTTTCTGTTCTTACAAATCTCAGTTTTAATATTAAGAACTTTCCATTGACACTTTCAGCACAGTGTATACCCTCTGCAAATTTATTACATTTCTGGCCAGAAAGCCCAATGCAAATTCTAAAGGCCTATAAATATATTTGGTTATAGCTATATGAAATTATTACAGATGAGCTACGCTCCAGCTTGCCCCTGCCCTCCAAAATCACAATAGCTGCAAACGAAGTTCACAATACTGCATAACAATGTCTTCCAGAAAAAAAAAAACATTTAATGTGAATGTGACATGCAAATATTAAGACAGGACACCAGACTTCTTTTCTTTCCCCTTCCCACTGGGTGTTTTATTTTATAGCATTTGCATTAGGTAATCAACTGAAACACTTCAACAACAGAAAGCTGGCAGCATAGTAAGGAAAAATGGAGATTATTTCTCAAACAGCTGTGACAAAATGGTTTCAAGTTGGAATAGTATTGCACAAACGAATCAATTTACATAGGGTGAGTGGGAGCGAGCATCTTCAACATGGATTGTGAGGAAAAAAGGCACTATTTAGCTGTGTGTGTGTTAAAAAAGAAAAAAAGTAATGAAGCACAATCCATGTTTTTCAAAATTACATTCAGTACTGCTTTAGAAATGCTCACAAACCTGTCTCTTTTTACAGAAGCTACAGAAAGCTGCTGATGTAAATATCAGACAGTACAAGTGCATGAACATTTATAATTATGCTCCAGAAAAGTCTCAGGAAGAGGGCTTGTTCTATAAATACTGCTGCAAAGGTTACATAGTTGCATAGGCTTACAGCAAAGGAAGCATTCATGCAACTAAGCAGCCTTACAGTTTCCTTAAGTTTAATCTCTAGTAGTCATAAAATATGCTCCGGTTTTGAAGAGCCAAATTGGCAGTGCACTTGAATCAGGCTTTTCCACCAACTGCTTAAGGAGTACAGTTCAGAGAGCGTCATCCATTTACCTTTTTGTCATATACGCACTTAGCAACGCCAGGTAAGCTTAATGGAAAATTTTAGCAGAATTGTAACAGAAAATAAGTGAATTTTCCCTGACATAAAATAGAACTGCTCTGAGACCATAAATAAGTAAATGTTTATTCCTGGAAATTAAAAATAGTTAAGTATCTTCAGAAAAACTAAGTACCCAGAAAAGGCATTTCAAATGACCAGGATGGGCTGCTTCTTCCTCTCCTGTATTGTATAGCTATAAATTTCCATGCCTGTTTGAAAACGAAGCCATGATCAGCGTATCATTAATAGAGACTGCTTGAAAATGAACCCAGAGCAAGCGGGAACACGCACATAGGACATTCTGCACCCTAGCCTTGTGTCTGCTTATAGACGCACTAACAAAATAAGAGTGAAATTCTTGTTGCATGGCTGCGGAATTATTAGGGGAAGGAGCTAAAAAACCTGTTGCTCTCCTGTCAACACTGCCCGGTGTATCACAAGTGCTGTGCTCCAGGCATGCTGTGGTTATGGCTATGTAGTTACCAGCACAGCCGGACCTGGCACCATTATGCTAACATTAAGAGTTTCAACAGGGCTACAGTTTTGCACAAAATCTGGTTGGTAATTTTGTACAAAAAGTACAGAACAGTGTAACAAAACCTACTCTCAACCATATACATAGATAGACAGATATGAGCATTTCAGCACCTTTCAAACGAACTTAGCTCTGCAAAAAGCCAATCTCACTCCGGTGCAGACACTACAGTGACTTCAGTTAAAAGATCCATGTTCAGGAGGTTGCACAGTAAGTTTACTGATCATACAACCTGCAACCACAAAAATCCATGTATTGCTGCTTTTCATTATAGTCATTAAGGGAAAATACACAAGATAATTCTGTTTATATACTGTAAAATATTTTTAATACCAACAATTTGGATTGCTTCCATTTCTGAATAGAAGATGAAAAGACCAGGTTATTAAAAATCTGTAAAGCTCCTTTCCCTGCTCTGTCTTTTAGGAGATCCAAGTTTGATAGGTCTGAATTCAAAGGATTCTAAAAGTTCACTGTTGACTTAATGGTTGCACTAGATATAAAAGTAGACAGTCTTGATTCCTTCTGTGTTCCACAGACAACAACATTTTCAGACTATGTCTGGAATGAATACCTCTCCAATTGCAGCTAGCATTTTTAAAAAATATTCCTAAAATTCTTGTTTGTCTCAACCCTGTCAGTTCACAGCAAAGAACAGGAAGTGATACCTGATTGAACAAAATGTGTTTTCTTATATGAACCATGAAAAATATATTGCTCTTAAAAGTAAAAAAGAATTACATTGTTCTATTATTTTTGTTACTGAATACTCATAATTAAGAAATTCTAAATGCTGGAAGGAAAAAAAGAAACACAACTTTTAAAATTGCTTACAGAATAGAAGAGGTTTCTGTAGACCCTACTGAAACCAGTAGAAGTTTTGCCTATTTTTCAATACAGAAGCATTTGTCTACACACCTATTTCATTACTTAGATGAATATTTTATGTTTTCACTTGGTAAACTCTTCTGCTCTCTTAGAGGTACTCTTTTGAAAATTCTGAAGGAGACTCAAGAAGGTAAACTGATCCAAATTATTCTGAAGGAAAACAACATAGTCAAAATAATACCTAACATAAAGCTATCACGGAGTGGATAATCTTTGCTGGGATTATAAATACTATTTTTTTTCCCCCAAAGTTACTGCTTTCTTATGAAAATTTTTAGATCTCTGTTAGCTACTTCTTGTGTATGACTCCTCGGTTCCTTTCTTTAGGTAGGAAACAGGTCTTCACGTGTGAACTCACACATCCTATTCCCAAACATGTTGGCAATATTAATGACGTCAATAGACAAGAACTAGAACAGGAAATCTTATGCATGGTTCATGCTATATAAATGGTAAGCTATCAGAAGGAAATTCCCTGATTATTTGGGAAGAACAAAGCGAGATCTATTTTTAAAATTCAAAGGGAAAAATCCAAGAACACAAAGAAAATGCAAGATGTACTTGATAGTCTCTCATTATCCTCTCTGTAATTGGGCTGTTGCTTTTGGCTGCAGACATCCAGTTCACAGACCATTTTCCATTTCCTTTGTTTTCATTACAAGAACAAGCTGGTTAAAGAAACTCCACTTGGTAATTTTAAACTAAGCTTTCAGCATCATCCCTTAGGAATTTAAACCTTTACCACCATTCCTTACTTTGTCTCCTCAGTGCCTTCCCCCATTAAACCCTGTGAAAAGCACTTTAAGAAAAGGCAGGTGTAAGATGTGTAAATACTCAGATCTTTAAGAAAATTCAATAGGAAAATTCTTGTAGTTCTCCACTGCCATTTGTTATAATGCAGTGGCCCCAAACATCTGTTCTCAAATTTCAATTTACTTCATCTACCAGGTGTTTCACATTGTTAATAATGGCAACTCACAAATTTACAATAGTCACATAAGGCAGTTACATAAATACAATTATGTCAATCAAGTTCACTGCATCTTTCTCAACCAGACTACACATGACATTTTTCTTCTTTCCCTCTTACCATAATAAAAGGACGAGGACTACATTTCTGTAAAGAGAATCCCTGGACAACGTTCTGGTATTGCAGTCAGAGAGGTCACTGAAGTGCATTTCAGCAATGTCCAACAGTTTACCAGGAAGTAGATGTGATGTTTTTCACTTCACACATAACAGAACTGGTGCAAAAACCCACTTTAAACTAGTTACTTTAAACCTTTTGGTCCAAATACATAAAATAAGCAGTATTTACAGCATTTTACTCCTTTTGTAAATGCAATGCTTTAAAACACATTATAAAGCACCTTAGTAAAAATATTCTACAGGTAAAAGTATCGAAGTAGTAGGAAAACCCTAACCATACCACAGCTCACTAATGGAGTCATAATATGGATTCACCAATACCTCAGTTTACAATTATTACAAAGAATCCATGGAGAAACTTAATACTGAATTTACGATTTTTATACCACTGTGTAAGGATCAACTAGAACTGCAGACAATACCAACTTTCTTCATAGTTTTCCCAACCTCAGTCAGTGGTGGTGGGGATAGAAAATAAAACAAAAACCCCACTGCTCCGATTCTTTAACTTTTTACAATATTAACGTGGAAATGATGTTTTAACACTAATGATTAGTTGTAATTTTTTAATAAAACCACATATATAAATATGGGCAATTCCAGCAGCAGCAGCATTTCTCAGCAGAACATGATTAACCATCCCAATCAATACCATGTGACATGGTTCACAAAAACAAAGCACAGATGTCAACCAGTTATTAACACTACTCATGTTGTACACAATCAAAATTTCCATGTTGAAAGCCGGGAAAAATTATTTCCTCTTCACAGAAGTATAAATGAAAAAAAAAAAAAAGAAAATTAAAAAGAGCATCAACAGAATTTGTTTATATTTTCAACTAGAACTGCTGTATATTAATTGCTCCGAATTAAAGTGTAGATTTCTTCAGGTAAAGGATATTAACTCCCACTGAAAGTACTAGTTAGATAAAAGAAATGAAGCCTTTGCTTCTGGATTACCAACATAGTTAGCTGGTATCCAACGCCCTGGAGGTGATCCACAGCCCACTTTTCTCAGATCTATAACGAAATGTCTTGGAGGTCTACAAGCAATCTAGTTTCCATGGCTGAGGACTAAGATGACGATGTGACCAAAGATTTAGGTCCATAAATCTAACAGTATAGTGTTCTTAGTTTGATTTAGGGTAAATCTTTTCATAGAAAAAGTTTTGAGCCAGAATATACAGTTCTCCATCTTTTTCCCGAACTGCATGTGCTCTGACAAACTGAAATTGCTCCAGTGCAAATTCATAGAACTCATTCTCCATTTTCCAGATTTCAGACTGTTGTAGCTTGGCAATAGTTTCTTTTGTGGGAAGTTTTTTCTCAGTTGTTTTCCTAAGATGGGACTTCTTTCCTAAATGCAAAATGAAAGCAGTAATTTCACTTTAAAGTTCACATGATTAAAAAACATTTACAGTCCTTTTCTTTAGAGTTTTATACTCTTAGCATGTTGATAAACTGCATTAGAAGTGACAGAATTTAATCCAGGATTTATTAACATAACATGCAGGGTTGGAAAATTGCAGTCTCTCTCACTAAATGTTAATGAATTTTGCATCAGTTCTTTCAATTCTTCCTTCTTACTGTAATAAACCCAGGGAATGAACACTTCATTTAAGGAACAAGATTACTCCACATAATGTACGTGGAGTAAGATTGGTCTTTCAAAATTAATTATTTAGATGTTAATCTGGTATCAATGTTAAGAACTTTAAAAACTGCAGAGCAAGAGACTTCTTTCATGAGACAAAGATGACCAAAATGATGACAGCATTTTCCCCAAGAAGTGCTATCTGTTGCTTTATAATCAATTTGTTAATACTACATGTCTAGGCTCTATATATCAGAGCCTTTTCTCCCTCTATTTGCAGATAGAAGCCCTGCTAAGATGGACCTTTTCTTTGTCATAAGTTGGATGGCCAGCTCCCAGAAACTGAGCTACTAGCTATAGAACAAACGTCTTACTATGACCCAGGAAGATAAGCATGTACTTGGGCCTTTGCATCCCTTGGGCCTTTTTGCACAGCAAACCAGGTTGCATCAAGCACAGCTGATCTCGTCAGCAGGGCTTCTGAGGAAATGGAAATCTGCCCCTGCAAGACTTTCCAAAAACATTCTGATAAACACCTGTCACAATTTTTCAAGTGTGGAATACTTACAGAACTGCCTTTACCCCAGTCTTAAATATTTACAATTTGTGTAAGGCAGGAGGATACTTGGTCTGCCCTCAAAAATTTGAACTGATAGTCTTTTAAAGAGTTTGTCTCTTCTGTAGGAACATCAGCCAACTGAGAGGCAAACCTGGCAGAGACTCAAAACTAGTCATCCAGGTTTAAAGAATTCACATTTTAAAAAGTGACAAGAGGATGAAAAATCCATGGAATCCATGGAAATCAACCATTTAAATACCTGTACGATACAGTTCTGTGGCACCCCTGAAGAACCGGGGCAAAGCCGCCTCCAATAACATGATAAAGTCTTCAAGCTCTTCAGTAACTCCTACTAGGAAGTACTCATTAATCAGATTGTATTTGGCTTGTTCCAAAGCCCATCTGCTTCCCACATTCCTAAAATGACAGAGAACAATTGCAGCAAATTGTGATGTCAGCCAACAATCCTTGGTCCCTAGATGGAGATTACTTCATAACAGGACGTTTGTATAGGAAAGGCAAGACTCATTTGAAGTTATAACCATTCCTAACTTCATTTCCCTTTCCAGTTTCTCTCATCTGTGTTATCTAAAAATTTGACGACTCTAGTTATTTTCACTAATAATTCATCCACAAAAAAAAAAAAGTGTGTGTATAGAGTTACTGTCTCTATTAATGCAATTTTTTATGATTTACATTTTCTCAATGTCAATACTTGCTCTCCACTTTCACATTAGATACCAGAAATGGTTCTGGTAAGAACACACCTTCCCTTTTGCACCCTACAAGCATAATTCTGAACTAGAAAGTCATTGTGCTTAATGGGAAGACTTCCCTACTGAACGACAGACAGAAATTAAACTGACATTTTTTCCTCCTTTTTACAGCTCTAGACAGAGTAAAAAGACAGGTTCAGAGTTTGTTCTTTCTTTCTCTGCTTCTCCACCTGGCCCAAGTGTAGATAGGTATGACCAACAGGCACTGAAAGAGGAGCTCCCAAGTGGTGATTTACTTTGCTTATGTTTGGATGAACAGTACCTTTGACAAATAACTGCCCTTGATTTCACTCAGAATCCTTCAAATCATCTATGTCCTTTGTATTCTTTTTTTTCTTTTAGTTTGCTAAAGAGTTTTTTAAAGTCTGTGCCATTGTTATAAAATATGCTGCATTGACAGATGGACACTATTTGCTTTTGTTCAGTTTCTACTAAGTAGCATTGACTACTAGATGTCTGGTAAAGGTTTAAGAAGATAAATTTATCCTGATCTCAATTATTTTATTCTCCACAGAAACTCTAGGAGCTTGAACAAAATATGTCCGATCAGAAAGACGGATATTGTAGCCTGACATAAGAGAAAAACGTCAAGACTCCAAATCTACAAAAATTATTTCTAAAATTGAAAACATGTGTTTTCTCTCATAGCACTGCTGATACAGTATCCTAATATATTGCTTGGGTAAAAAGCATCTTCAAAAGAAAATACGTTACTAAAGTACCTGCTGCTTCACTCTGTCCAGTCCCTCACACTTTCCCCAACTGTGCTACATATTAAAAATTTGTTAAGTTTAGATTTCAGCACTGATATACTTGACTAACAACTTAAGCTACATTTATCCCCCCTACCAGCATTCGGAGCTGTGGCCACAGAAGAACGGAATTTGAAGCCAAAGTTTCTCTGGAGCACAGTCTGAACCTCCAGCTGCCACACATTCATCAAAGGTCTGGAACAAAGACAAAATTGACCTGAGCTTTAAAATCTAGCATATGTATCAAACATCTCAACCTGGTTAGTTGCTAAACGTAGCTGGGACAAAAAAACACAAGATACGATATGAAAGGGAAAAAAAGCCCAATTTTTTCAAGCCTTGCTTTCACAGTGGTATTTGGAGGACATATTCATCTCAATTAAAATAGTACTTGGACAGTCTTTTATGGTTAGAACTAATGAACAATTTGATCTTACCTCATACATTTGACATACCTTTGATATAACCTTGATAAACACTATATGTCAAAACAAGCAAAAAGTCAATAAGTGTTGGTATCATTATTTTTCCCTTACAAAAGAAGTCACTAAAGATACAGCATCAAATGCCATCAGGATTACTAGAACAGCTGGATCTTTATACCATAGAACACTGTGCATTTTATGTTGTAGATTAAACAATGTTCCATTACATTTTAAATATTATGACAAATAACTGCCATTTCAGAGGCTAATTTGGTTTTGGCAATCACAAGAAGTGAAAGCAAGTTGTTCACTGCATAACAGAATATTCCATACAACATTGCTCTATGTGGATAGACAGCTGTAGCAACACAGAGTTTCAACTGCAATAACACAGTTACAATAAGAACTCCATTAGCACTGGAAAGAATTTGTAAATATTTTACCTAGTCACCATAAAGTAAGTAGTTATGCTATTTCTAATCAAGATATAAGCCATGTATCTAGGGCAGATTTTTTAAAAATTATTTAGTAACAAATAAGTGATCACACAGACAACTTTTTAGAGTGTTTCTTCTGTACAATTACAAGTTTCTGTTCACAACAACTATGTAAAAATGCATTTGTTTAATTATTCAGTGTTAGAACAAGGACAATGTCCTTTGCTTCTGTTTTGAGGTAAAGTTTCTGAGATAATCTGAAAAAAACTACTGTTATCAGGCCAAAGCAGGGATTAACCTGTGGTGTCTTGGTCCACATTGCACTTTAAGTTTATAATAGCTTATACATGTCACATACCACAGATAAAAATGCAGCTTAACTAGGAAAACAAGACATTGGTATGCTTTCTCTAGCATAGTTCTCTAAAGAAATTCTGCACCGATCTATCATGAGTACTTTATAACATCAACATTACCTAAGATCTAAATTATTTAAATGCACCTGCTAACTTATGAATGTATATATTAAATATGAACTGGCATCTGTCAAAAGAAAGACTTCTTTGCTTATACCTGCAGGTTATTTTATAATTAATACACAAAAGTAAGTAAGTAATTTTCTAAGTAAGATGAAATAAGACAGGCCTGCTTCCCCACTTCCTCTTATATACTTACCTTGACTACCCCATCCAGAGATTTCATTATAGGAAACACTTGTCTTTACAGACTCTGTTCTTGGAGTCAAGTTAGCTATAATTGTGGAAGTACAGGTATATAGAAAGAAAATGAATGAAGAACTCTTGCATATAAATGCTGTGATATGGACTGGGAAGGGGTGAGGGTGTAAAGTACGTTGAGATTCCTTTCCACTTAATAAAGAAACAAATAACTTCCATTAGAAAGATTGCATTTTTGACCTTCCCTACTTTTCATTTGAAGAGCTCTTAGTGAATCTACTATAACACAGATTAGAATAGTGTTATAGTAGTGCAACTGGGTCAATCCATTTTTGAGCTTACTGAATTTTTTATCTAATGTATGTAAAATTGACACCATCTATATACGTACAGTTTTCTTGGATACAACATGGAAAAATAGTATTACCTGATTTAAATGAAAGAAACCCTAAAACTTGGCATAACAAATCAATTTCACTTCAAATGACCTAGAGATGCTTACAGGACAAGTTAAATCTGTATGGCAACAACTAAGTCTCAGACCTAAATAAAGTGGTATGATAGTGACAAAATGAAAAAAAGCATCTTTAATAGAAAAACATAAAATTATTAATGCAATGTATTACAAACATTATAAATAGGAATGCATTTCAACTTCTTCTAGCAAATCAGAGCTTACAGTGCAGTCTACCAAGCAGCAGCATTAGGGATTTTGGCTTAATGTTTCCCAGTGACTACCTAACAAGGCTGTTCCGATTAATTCAAAACTAAAACAACACTGTTAAATTTCACTCTTTTTAATAAATATTAAGTCCTATAAACAGCTTGGACTTGGTAGCATGCTCAGCTTTCCAACTCATTGACCTCCACCAGGAAGGAATTCCACTGGCCAAATCATGCTCCTCATGAAAAGGAACAGAGTAGGTTACAAAAGATGAGATCCTATCTCTCTTTTTAAAAGTGCCTCTATGATACCATATCACCAAATCATTTCTGTAGCCAGTTCCATGAAGACACAGTTTTTAAGCTTAATTTCAATTTGTTCTGCTTGAAGCTTTCCTCTGCCTATGCTGTAGGATGTCTGTATAAACTGAAATACAGTAGCTGAAGATGGCGCCAAATCCTAAATAACAGAGGAGCAGTTAGTTATCAGCTGGAAAGAAAAAGGGAATGGTCTGTTCCCAGTATTTAAAAAACACCATTTGGATGGGGGGGTGCACACAAATGATTAGTCACATTTATTAGTTGTTACGGTGTTTATAGACTAAGCTGTCTTCAGTGTGATTTTTGCTTAGGGTTTTTTTTTTCTTTTCAAAGTCTCTTGGTATTCACACAGTGCTACACTAAATTGTCAACATTACAGAAAAATTTCATCAGTTTAAGAAAATGTTGCCACTGAAATTTTAGAAAAGGTTTGGCTCTCTAAAGTACAACCCCCCCTTACAGCATATAAAAGCTTCCACACTGTTCGAACTATACTTTTATAAGCTATATTCATATACTTAATACCCTACTTTTCTTCCTGATTTAAGAAAAGTCCAAAGCAACATGCTCCAACAAATGTCTTACTGCAAACCATGACAGTGGATGTATAGATTCTTTCTGGAATAAATATATTATGTTCCCATTCTGAAACTGTATTAGTAATCAAGGTTTGAATATGCTAACCTCAACCACTCTTATAGCAACCTAAGACAGATGGAAGAAGTATAGAAATGTATGAGTCATACTCCAGTTTTCAGGCAGACTCTTTATACAATTCCATTGCAATATTTACATTTTTAAAAAAAAATTGCTTGCTAATTATAAAAAAAGAACCAACATCAAAGTCAAAGCATCAGCAGTTCTACAGCTTTTGGTGAAAAACGTCTCTCAGTCTTCAACAAGAAGAGATGTAGATTTTTTACATAGGAGGATAAGCTTAACTCGATACCTACAATTCTGAATACCTGAAAACAATTTTTAATTTTATTTAATTTTTCTTAACAAATTGCAACATATGGTGAATTTATAAGGTTACAAAAACATACGTAATGTTACGGTCTGGTCCAGTACAGACACAAAGGGGGGAATATATAATTTACAAAGCCACCATCGTCACCAAGGCTGATACAAGAACTATTCAGCTTTTATCAGGACTTTTTTTAAAATAGTTTTCACATTAACTTTGGTAAGAACAACATATATAATAAAGCGTACTTTACCTTTTTATCCCCCTGTTTTCGCCTCCGTAGCCCTGGTCTGTAATCATCTCCAAAGCGCAGAAAGTAATAGTAAGAAACTAGTCTTTCTATAGGATCTCTTATGACATTTATGTAAATTGGTTTCTTTTTAACACCAAATCTAAAGTAAAAGAGAAAAAAAAGTCTTTTAAAGGCCAAATCAAAGCTTCTCATCTAATACTTAAAAGCCTGTCTCTACTGATACAACTGAAATCTATATACAGAGGTGATGGTGGTGAGAGGAAGCTTAAAGATCACTTCCTCCCATCCTCATATCCAGTGCATTACGTGGATGTGAAAGTCAGTTCAATTTCAGTTTTCATAGGATTGTGATTTTAGGCTTTTTTTATTAGAGAAACAAACAAAACTGAAACATTCTCACACAATAGATACTAAAAATGTTTATACAACCATCATGACTCTAGAAATGCCTTAATTAGTCTAACAGGCACATACGTGTTTATAATAAGGACAGGGAAGTTTGATACTGATTCCTGCCCTCCTGAACTGTGCCATGCAACGCTGCAAGTGGTTTTCCCGGCAGGTCTCCAGTTGCCAGAGACGTGAACTCTAAGAGAAGGAAGACAGAGCTCAGAGCCCATCCATTACCTAGGTTGAATCCAAATGGCTATGCTTATTAAATATAAGCCTAAGACAGTACCTGTAACCATATTAACTTCTCTATCTAAAGATACAAATTTTTCCCTTAGACATTTACCCTAAGCAAATTTTGATTTACTGTGGTACAAACAGGAAGCCTGGTGAAATGAGGTGGTAAGCTCATAGGACACACGAGAAAGATTTAAACCTCCAAAACTGTTTTGTGCAAATGCTGCCTTTCAATGATCTACGTTCAAGTCAGCTTTTACGATACATTTCTCACTTTTCTTTTCTTTTCTATTTGAGACATTACTGTGGCAAATACATACGGTATCCAAACATTAAAGAGGTTATATCACAATGGAAATACAAGCGTGTAAAGTGCCCTGAAGTAAAGCTAGGAGCCAGAAAAAAATTTCTCTTTTGTTCCCATGCAAACTGGTAAAGTGTTCTGCACTGACAGAGGGCCATTCTAGCCTCCTAGCTTGGCTAAAACAGGGAGCACTGGTAGTTTTAAGACGCAGTACCTTTATTGATAAAGTGGCACTCTGTAAATTATAAAACGAGATACTGCTCATATGAGGAATCTTAAGTTAAAAAGCTGAAGAACAGAAACATAGAATAAGCAGCAGAAAAGAGGAAGTTAGAAAAAAACAATAAAAGGCATTACTTTGGCAAAGACCAGCACTACAGATACAAAAATTGTTAAAGGCTACAGAAAGAGCAATTGATTCTTCAGATGTTGCTAGCAGAGTACCAATGAATCAGACTGTAGCAGTTAAAGGCAGCATGGCTGACATCTGTCTGTATGCCAGCTCTTACTCCCCACAGTCCGCAAAATAGGAACGTGTGAATGTTTCAACCATTTTGATGCAAAGTCCAGACTTTGAAGGGCACCCTCTTTCAGGTTCACTGAAGTGCTTGAGACATGCACATGTGTCCCCTTCTACAGACTCTACTGCAAGTGCTGTAGAAGGCTATAACAAACCATTTTGATATAGTAGCAGCCTTAATCAATAATACGTATCTGTGGGTTAAATGAAGGGGTGAATGTCCTGGTTTCAGCTGGGATAGAGTTAACTGTCTTCCTAGTAGCTGGTACAGTGCTATGTTTTGAGTTCAGTATGCAAAGAATGTTGATAACACTGATGTTTTCAGTTGTTGCTCAGCAGTGTTGAGACTAGAGTCAAGGATTTTTCAGCTTCTCATGCCCAGCCAGGGCACCTGACCCAAACTGGCCAACAGTGTATTCCATACCATGGGACGTCCCATCTAGTTTAGGAACTGGGAAGCGGGGGGCAGGGATTCGCCGCTCGGGGACTGGCTGGGTGTCAGTCGGCAGGTGGTGAGCAGTTGCCCTGCGCATCATTTGTACATTCCAATCCTTTTATTACTACTGTTGTCATTTTATTAGTGTTATCATTATCATTATTAGTTTCTTCTTTTCTGTTCTATTAAACCATTCTTATCTCAACCCACGAGTTTTACTTCTTTTTCCCGATCTTCTCCCCCATCCCACTGGATGGGGGAGGAGTGAGTGAGCGGCTGCGTGGTGCTTAGTTGCTGGCTGGGGTTAAACCACAACAGTGAAAGCCCTTGAAAATGTTCGTGCTGGATTGTACAGTCATATGGATTTGCACATGACCTCGCAAAACCAGCTTCAGGTATGATAACATAAGCCACTTACTACTGTAACTTTATTAATAATGATAATAATTTGGCAGTTGCATTGTCAAAAAACTTTTTCTCCAACCATTTACTAGAGAAAGTAGGGAATAAGGGTGGATCAGAAATTAAAAAAAAAGAGGAAAAAAAATTAAACTTTTGTTACTGTGATTTCTATATGGATGGGTTATGATAATCTGTCCTCAATACTGGAAGTCATTGACTGAATCAAGTACTTCAAGCTTCAGCATAATTTAAGAGGTACTTCTGATATTTGACAACGCACCTAAGTCTGATGTCCGCGTATAAGCAGGCATAGACTTTTCTGAAATATTTTACATCTCCCCACTACAAGAATGTACCTCACAGCCTTAAAAGTGTGGGCCTTGCCAAGCACAACCAGAATATTCAAGATATTCTTTTAATAATGAAAACCCAAAGTATGAGAAAGCAAGGTGTTGTAGGAAAAAATTAAATCATCTAGGTGAAAGGATGACAAACAAACAAAAGGATAACACAGACCTGAAGGGAAGATGCAGATCAAAGAAATCTGTGAAATTGCTTAGATGCTTTCTAGATGTAAAATAATTATTTTAGTTTAAAAAGTTCTAGTATCTGAAAGTGTTTTCAGCTTTATGAAGTGAGTAATGTATAAAATAACATTCACCTTTATTGCTCCAGAAAGGGTTTATTAATGTTCAAGAGTTTATTAATGTTGCAGCATTTTAACTTTAAAAAGGCAGAAAGGAAGCTAACAAAATTTGACACATTTTATTTTATTGACTTATTTGCAATTAAGACTTCTTGCCTGTTACTTTTTGTAAAATTCAAGTTTTTACTTGGTGCCATTGGTAATTTCCAGCTACTACTGTAGCTTTTAGCATTTACTATTATATAATATACTGTACTGGGAATCTACGAAGCTCTCACTTCCCCTTCTCATTCTTTGTAATAAAAAGCTAGAATGAAAAATCAGTGTACATAGCAGAATGAATAATTAAAGCAATGACTAAACAAAAGAAATTCCTACATACAAAAACCTGATTTCATTAAATAAATGTTTTAATACACAAAACCAATACTGAGGATTGACCACCAGCAAGAGGTAAAAGTAGTGGTTACTATTGTTTGTGCAGTTGAATATGCTGAGATCTGAAAATTCCACTTTCAATTTTAAATTTCATTTTCCACATGCTGCACGTGCAGGATGAAGCACTGCCTAGTAAGCATCTTAAGCAAAACTGACTTGCCAGTTCAAGGGGAGGTTTCACAAGACTGAGCTGCTGAGGATCACTGCTTTAGATCCAGAAGCAAAAATAAGACAAGAAAAAAACACATGGAAGCTGCAATTGAGATATGATTCCTGAACCTCTGAAGTCACTGGGAAGATTTTTACCTCATTTTCTTTTAAATTAATTTTAGAAGTAGCAGGATTTAATTCCACAAGAATTATTTCAATGTTTTTTACAGCAAGTCAAATTACTATAGGCCAGAAAACTGCTTTAAAATAGAACTTTTAATATTTTGATAAAGTGTAAAGGGATACTCTGATAGAGAAGAACTACATCATTTAAGAGGCAGGTGGTATTAGCTGTTATACAAAACATATTTGAGAATAGGTATCTTAAACTTCCCAGAATGGCAAGCCAATCCTAATGCAAAACTGCCAATGTTCCAGAGACAAGCCAGGATTTTCAGTAAAACAAGCTTGTAATTTAGAGAAGGAATACTAAACCTAGCATATAAATAGTTTTGAATGAGACTCGGCTACATTTATCATGCAAAAAGACAAGAGAAAACTGTGAAAATCAAACCCAAATATTGCTCATCATAGAAATTTCAGTGTGTGAATTTTTCAAAACTGCAGTTGTCAGACTTTCATCACTAGAGGGCACTAATATTCCAGCTGGATCCAAGCAACTTAAACTACTATGCTACTCAACAGATAAATCCAAGGGTAACATACTTTGCAAAGTCCAAGTAAGATATATGTCCATGGTAAAATCCTGGTTTCATTTCCTTCCAGGAAGTCACATTCTTCACAAATCGGACCTGTAGAAGTACACAGCAGAAAGTGTTTCTGCACAGCTGGAACACATTAAGTTTCCCCATACATGGTGTTTTCTGGTTTGTAAGTAAAATCTTACAATGCATTAGAAAAAAAGTCTATTTTGAATATTATCAAAGAACTTGTGCCAGCTAAAATAGACTTTTCTGCAAGCATACAGTTGACTCATTTTAGATCATCGCTATTTAATGATCAGAAGCTAAACAAAAGCAGAATACAGCAATCAGAACGCAGTTCAAGGAAAGCTACCACAAAAACATTAGCAAGACAAGCATTTAATTTTTTGTCAGTCCATTTTATTTGTCATTTGGAAGGAATGAGGAATTCCCTCAGCAATAAGTAGAAATGCAAGTACACCTTTGATGGAATTGTCTGATCTGTATTTAGTCCCTCAAATAAAAGTGTACCAGATTTACAAGCATGTTCTTAGACCTGTTTTACTGGGACATAAGAAACAAATCTGATGGTTCATTTGCTCCCCCATCCCCAGATCCAATGTATGAGTAATCCAGAAATTTTATAAATGTATACAGTGTAAATTAGATTTATAGTTCACCATTTTTAATAGATATCTTAAGCCTAAAATGTCAGTGAACCTTCCATGTTAAAGCATGAAGTAGCTCTTAAACAAGGGCTGATAAAGCAGTTATCGGCAAACTTCACAAAAATAGGAATAGCTTTACATTTCAAAGAACAAAATAAGATACACGCCCCAAACCAGAAAGTATGATCAAATTAAGTGGGACATGCAAATCCTGATATAGCTTGGCTTTATTAAATGAACAGAATATTTTAAACATCAAAGCATTTAACTCTGAAAGTTATTTCAAAACTAGTGAATTGGATAACAAAGAAAAGATGATAAATTTGTACTGCCTGAGCTGTCTGAAAATGATATGCCATTTCTGAAGCTGAGAATTAGAAGATAGCGTTCCCTGCACATCTACAATATCTTTTCTGTTATACAGTGACATAGATAACCGTTAAGATACTGAGGTGAGACAAGAGAGTCAAAAAAGGAAAGTTTGAGAGCTCAAGACAACACACTAACATTCCATAAGGTCTAACGGATTGAAAGTATCCCGAAACATGCTATTTATCATTTATTCTGACCAACCAATTGAGGATTTTAAGAGGCAAGACTGGCCTGTTGCTGTTTCTTCAAACGTGCAAAACTCACAGTCTAGGATTTAAGAGGTTGATAATCTTTACTTCTTCAAACACTAGCTCTTGGACTCTCAGGTAAAAAAAAAAAATGCACATTACTTTTTAATAACAGGCAGCATTCATTTTTTCAGTGTACAAGTTTCACAGTCTGTGGCATTTCACAATTTAAAACATACATTGCACATGAAAATTGTGGCAAATCTAGCTGAAAAACGCTGCACAATGTTATACAATGGTGTTTCATAAACTGCATTTGCTTTCTGCCTGGTTTTGTCTGCAGCACAAACTGGTAATATATCTATGAGACTTTGAATCCAGTTGAACTACCTTTACTGCTACTGAAACAAACCATACTTTCATTGACTGTACCTCTCAAAGATTAATGACATAATATTTTCAGTGGAGAGCCTCAGCTATGAATATTTCTATTTATAGAAAGAAAGTCAAGAGACTTACCTGGGAAAGAAGCTTCCTAAATGCAAAGTATATATTATCCTCCCTTCCCTCACCCCCAGACCCCAAAATGTCATGGTTGGTTGATACAACTCTGCAAGTAAACCAGTTATGCTATCTATTGTGTGTAGTGCAGCATGCATATTAAAGCCTACATTTCAGTTACGTTTCCATGAACAAGCTTTCTGAAATCTAGCACCAGCTAGATGAAGTGCAAAATCCAAAGGGTCAGTTCTGTCTTAGATCCCCATGCCACCATCTGGCATCAAACCTTAGATGTTCCAGTAATGGTTAAAAAAATCCTGTATTGTCTTTGCCTTACAATGTTGTTGTCTGCTAAGGAAATAATTTCTATGAACATAGGATGGATGTTCTAGCCTTTTATTAACTTTAACACCAGGCAAGCTAAGAGAAGGCTAGGAAGGTTTTGTAAAACAGCTGTGACATTTACGTCTGCATAAAGATGGAGTAGCAACACGCTGTGCCTCTGAGAACTAAGTTTTTAACACCTATAGCTAGCCTGCAGGCAAAGGATTATTTCCCTACTCCCAAGCCCATCCTGAGTTTGAGGCATTTCAAAAAATCAGAATTGTTCCAGGTCACAGCCAGCCTAATGAGTCTGGATTCACACATTTTAGGGCAGAGATGAGTATTGCTTGCTGCTTCATACTGTTAAATATGATCAATTTTACCTTTCTTTTCAGGGCTTAGCAGATACTGGAGCTTTCAAGAGACTGAGCAAGCTTCTCCATCTGAACCCAACTGAATAAAATTTGAGGTTACTTGAAAAGTTCAGATAGACGTGAATGGAATTCCTGTGAAGTTGTTTCATGGTGCTTTTATATAATCAGCTACAAAGTTGCTTCACAGCCTTTAGTAAGTGAGAAATCAGCTGAGCTTCACTGAATTAAAAAGCCAGATCAAACGTACTCTGGGGGCGTAAGATGTCCTGAAAGGTAAGTTAAATACATTCAGTTTCTAGGACGATAAGAATGTAAAACAAGTCCCAGTGAGCCAGAAGGAAAAAAACCCAACAAAACAAAACAGCATACTTGGTCTGAGCAAAAAGCCCTGGGAAATCTGTGCATGCAAACCAAGGTGATGTAAGCTGTCATCTCTGTCCACTAACTGCTTCTACCAATCCCTCTTCTCTATAGTCTGAACACACTCATACATACCCTCTGCCCCCAGAAGGTGGTATGGTCATTACCTTGTGGCCTGGTATCACATCGGCTTTTGGATACCAAAAAGCCCCAGCTTTTCACATCATCATATTCTAGTTTTGTTTGTCAATTGCTGAATAACTGACTTAAAATTACAAATAACTGGGGGTATGAATATCACAAGCCCAGTCTGGTGAGGACACGTGAGGATCTTCCATTCAAACTACAAAAAAAAAGGGCTCCCAAGTAAGACTGAAGACCAACACAGTGTTCCCATTAACGGAAATCTCAGATTCAGATTTAAAAGGCCAAGCATGATGGGATGCCTGAATCAGAATCTCTCTGCAGGAAGTCACTGGTAGCTTAGCTATCCAAATTGTCATACAAGCTAATGACTTCTAGTTAGCTCTAAATCAGAGGGTCAGCAGTGCGGGAAACAGGCTAGCAGCACACCTTTGGCTGCATGCCATGAGAAACCACAAGCAAGCTCAAGGCAAGGGCAGCTGAGAAGCAATTTTGTGAGATGCTGAAAAGACAGAGTTCACCAGTTCAGCCACAATACAGCCAGGATAGCCGCCTCGCATGAACAGTTCTTCCTCAGAAGGAGAAATACAATTGGCACATGTACAGCAATGGACACTAGTACTCACTAGGCCATCTAACTCCAAGAGAAAAATTCTTAAATGTTCAGGAGCACATGACAGTACTTCCACTTCTAACAGCGTCACTGCAACCTTTTACTTGTTCCACTTCTGGAACTTCCACTGACAGCCACTGAAACCTTCACCAGCAGAGGAAATAAGTACTACTAAAGTCAGTATGAGTGTGCTGTCCTCTGAGAGGTCACTGTTATAGAATACATTTGGAAGCCAGATTATATATTTTCAGGTCGTTCTTTTGAGAAAAATGGAGAGAGAAATTGCAGGAGAAAAAAGAACATGGAACAGAAAAACAGCAAGCTGAGGGAGTGAAATGCTGGATAATTGTATCACGGCTTTTCTATGTTCACAACAGTACAGAGAACGTGTTCTCATACCCTCTTTTCTAATAATACATCAAGACTACATGCTGCAAGACAGAACAGTAATTTCGTTTTAAATGTTTTAGATGACAATTTCACCATGTAACAAAAAAGCTTAAGTTTGTGTGGCTGGTATGCCATCCAACTAGCCATAACACAGGCATACTTGTATGGACAAAAAGTATCAGTACTGAAACATGCAAGCAACAAATAAAATCCAACCAAACAACTACTCCAATTTAATGAAAGCAAGTCTTTTTGTTACAGACCACACAGGTCAGAAACGCAACATGGGCAACAAGGCACTCAGCTTGCTGCAAAGAAAAGGCCCAACCTGTGGAAAGAGGGGCAGTTCCCAGGATCCTGCTGTCAGAGAAGCTGCAAAAGAAAGGAGGCCTGCTGGGAAAAAGTTCCACTTGAAACTAAAATGGATGTGTTAGGGACTCTTATCAGATCATCTCAAATCAGATACAGATTATATATGGAGTGGATTTTAAATAGTGTTTTTTTCAGATTGCATTCAAGAAGTAAAGGTTTCACATATGGGCAGAACACTTAAAATCTGTTACAGAATTAGAGTAGTTTGGAAAAAGTACAGAAGTAGTGCACCACAGAAGGCTCACTATTTTACAAATTCATGTCAGGCCCAAGACAATCTTCACCTTCCTTAGGGAGATTTACTTTAACAAACAGTATCACTGATAAAACAATTTTGTCTCTATGATATGTTTATGTATTTTACTACCAGTGCATATACACCTAATGCACTCAAGTGAGCTGTACTGATGAAGGTGCCATGTGAATATTTCATGCAAATGCAAGCCCACAAAGAGTAAGCCTCATCAGCTACTACTCAGCACCCTTGCCATCTACAGAATTATGCATTATGACTTACAACAGCAAGTTGCTATCTCGATACACTAAAGATAAATAATTATTTCCTCTTCTTTGAACAACTATGCAATACAAAGTTTTTCATCAGTAGCATCTCCCAGTTAATGGCCATTGAAGAAGAGGAGTATCAATTGTCTAATTAAACAACATAATTTACCACCTTGGACAATAGCATAGTATCAAACGAAGGCAGGACTGCCAGTACTGTATACATGCCCAGCACTGATGGATTTTCATTTTTCAGTAGTTAATTATTACAGTGGAGATGAGGAGGAGAGTTTCTCTTAGGCAAAGCTAAGCCAGTAAAGAACAAATCTGATTTGAATGAAATTCAAACAAAAGTAGAAATTTAAGGCAAGTTTGCCTATGTTTAATTTATACCATCAAGGACTAGCTCTCCTGTCCTTCAGGACAGACCACTACAATTCAAAGAGACACTCTGACAGAAACAGAATCTGTGGCTGGAAGTGCAGCACCAAGTATGACTGACTCGAGCATGATTTTTAATTAACAGACATAGGCTTGTTAAGTCTTTTGAAAAATCACTCTGCTTAGTGCACAGGTCTTTAGTAACTGTTCTATGCAGTGGACAAGACTACAGGGATGGCTACCAGATTTACTCTTAGTAATCTCAGTAATCCCATATGACATCACCTTCATATTTAGGAAAAGATTTCACAACAGCAAAAACCCAACAGTAACACAACCTCACTATCACAACAAAGGTTCCCAGTGCTACCCCAAGTACACTCTATGTCCCCTGCACTGAGATCCCTACCTCACTCTTTCTCCCACATACAGAACTGAAAGTGGAGGGCCCATTACCATCTGCTTCCCCTCACCCCACTCCAGCAGCTGTTCTGAGCTGCTTCTGCCTGTAGGCATGCACTTCTAAAGGAGCTGGAAGCCTCAGTGCTGACATGCTGCAATGCAGAACAGCTCCTGCTTCTGCTGCATATCAGCTTAAGATGATCAGCATACATCCAGTAGTACACACCTGAGAGTTTGGAAACATTTGTTTTACAGACAGAGATGATGACATAGTGATGTTTCAGACCTTTGACCTGGGTTCCCTGCATGTGCAGTCACAAGGAGCAAAGAAATATTATTTTAAAAATGAAAACAAAATATCTACTCCCTCACCATACCCCACCCTGAGAAAAACAGAGCATTGATCCTTCATCATCTTTTAATACTCATCATCTGATGCAGTGGTAGCCACGATCATTTCTAGCCTGGAACTACACTGACTTTAGTGAGAGCTTTAAGTGGATGCAAAGTGACCCATCCTTTAGACTGCAAGCTATTTACAACCACTTCTTTCTACCGTTTTTTATCACCTGTGCGACCTGACCAGACCTAGTGCCAAAGACAGAAGTATAGCCCTGACAGCATGGCACAGTGCCTGCACTACTCAGAGAGGAAATCACATAAGACTGCATTCACTGCAGATGGAGATGACAGGCAAATACTATTATGCAGCCAAAAGGCAGACAGTTGACAATACAATAAACTTTTACAGCTATAACAACAAAGGTCATTTCTTCCCTAGCTGTGTCCCTCTTTAGCTTTGTTTTTTTCCGATAAACAGATACTTACCACCTCCAGTAGCCCAGCTGTGGATTAATTTATTATTAATAAATAATATTCTCTACAAAGAAAATATAAACACATTAGAATTCATTTATATTGGAAAATGTGACATAAAAGCCAATTCCATCAGACCATATAAGTTTGCAAGAGCAAAAAAGTTTTCTATACTTTCCCCTTGTTTAATAAAGGCATCCCAAATGCAGCAGCTTACCTGATCTTGCAGAGACATAACAGGATTATTTTTGGTTGTATTGATATGTAGAACATGATATTTGTTCTTTGCACAAAGATCATAGGCAATATTTGTGAAGGATGTGCTGGCAGTCTTAGGTACTCTGTTGTAAATAATCACCACATCATCTTCTTCATCCAGTGTCACATCTTGTCGCGGGCCATCTACTGTATGACGTTGCTCTATTTCTCTGACTTCATGTCTTGCAATAGCCCTTTCTGTTCAAGGATGACAAATACAAAATTTTGATGTAAAAATCACTAATTTGAATTTCAAACCATAGAATGCAAATAACCTGGTAAAAAGCAGTAACTCCTCAGCAATAAAGGAAACACTTGCTGTCATATATATTTCTGACACATCTGAAGCAAAACTTAATCTATAAAATGTATGAATGATAAAAGGTGAGTTAGTCTGACACAGAACATGAAGACTAGAAAACAACATGCTTAGGGAACACATACCATATTCTGTGACTCACACTAATGTTACTGAAAGCCATTGCCTCTAAAGAAAAATGTCTATAATGCACTATCAAAATGGTGATATCCCCAAGATACCCCAAATTTCTATAAAAGACCTATTTAAGAATTATAATTGAAGTAATAACTCAAGCAATTTGGAGAATATGAATTTTCTGAAAACAGTAGAAACACTAACACTAGAGATTTAGTCAATTAACTGTGTAGAGGCACTGGAATTCAGATGAAACCATTGTTTTGTTATTTCAATTGATACAAGCCCCAAGCATAAAGCATTACAATAAATGGGTTTGCAAAAATTCAATTGGATTTATTAATTTCAAGTTTGACAAGAATAGAAGCACAAAATGCTTACGAAACAGTTAACAATAAGGTGAAGAGTGATCTCCAAGTACTGAAATACATCAAATACATCAATAAGAAACAAACCTAGAAACACAAGCTATGAATAAGACATTTTTGCAAGGTGAGTACATTGCAAATAAACCATTTTTCCTTTTATGCAAAGGGCAATACTTTGAGTAATTGAACTCTGCTTCAAGTGTTAAAAGCCTATTTGGAAAATAAAACCCACAGTATTACAGCTTCCCCCCTCCCCCCTGCTGCTGAATATCAAATAGTTTGTGCTGATTCAGACACAGCTTTATTCTGTTCTAGGTAAGTATATACTTGTCCTGGTTTTGGCTGGGATAGAGTTAATTTTCTTCCTAGTAGATGGTACGATGTGTTTTGGATTTAGTGTGATAATAATGTTGATAACACACCGATGTTTTAGTTGTCGCTAAGTAGCGCTTATCCTAAATTAAGGATTTTTCAGTTTCCCATGCTCTGCCAGCAAGCAGATGCACAAGAAGCTGAGAGGGAGCACAGCCAGGACAGCGGACCTGAACTAGCCAAAGGCATATTCCATACCATAGAACATCACGCTCAGCATATAAACTGGGGGGAGTTGGCTGTGAGGGGCAGATCGCTGCTCGGGCATCGGTCAGCCGGTAGCGAGCGACTGCATTGTGCATCACTTGTCTTTTCTTGTTTGTGGGGTTTTTTCCTCTTTTTTCTTATATTCCTTTTCATTACAATTACAATTATTATTATTATATTTTATTACTATTAGTGTATTACATTTTATTTTACTTTAGTTATTAAATTGTTCTTATCTCAGCCCACGAGTTTTACTTTTTTTTTCAATTCTCCTCCCCATCCCACTGGCAGGGGGGAGGAGTGAGCGAGTGGCTGCATGGTGCTTAGTTGCTGGCCGGGGTTAAACCACAACAATAACAATACTTTAATACAATTTGTAATACAGATGTCAAAGCATCTTTTCTGATTCATTTATTGTGATATTGCCTTTAATAATGTATTCAAAGAAATCTGCGTTGGCCAACCACAAGCTGAAGTTGGTATCAGAAGAGTAACCTGTAATTCACTGTATTATGTTCTTATGCAGGGTATAGCTCTTTCTGGATGACACGCTTTTAACAGCAGCAGCTCTTGGCCCTTACTTCCCTGGCTTCCTGTAACCCAGCTCCTTCCACTCTTTTTCATTACATCTCTTTAATTATAACATAAAATAATTTTTAAAGCAGAATCATTAAGCTGTGAACACCACTAGCCTGTAATTCCACATAAATTGTCTTCAGCCACAAACTTCCATCTGTCTGAAATGCTTCAAAGCTTAAACTCACTCACTCTCTCATATGCTCGTATCTCACACCCCATAACTAAGTTACATCAGTATGAAAATGTTTGTAGAAAATGCTTATTGAGTATATCTCAATTTTCCACATGACATCTGTTGCTCCCCACTACATCAGTCACAGTTTTTGCTCCTTCCTTTCTCATTTGCTACCTCTCTCATCACTGCTGGCAAACGTCCTATTTTGGAAAGCGATGAGGCAACAGACACAGGTTTCATCTATCTGAAGATGACTACAACGAAAAGGGACCAGCACGACTACCCGTCCTGCCAGTAACAGATTAGAGGAAGCATTTGGTAGGAGACATAGTTAACCACATAGCTGCCCAAGGCTACATGGATACTGCATAGCAGCTAGAGAGACTGAAATGAAACAAATTTAATTTGTATTTTCTACACCAGAGTAGTAGATCTCAGCTAGATTTGAATCATAACTGCACAGACCTCCAGAGCTGATGAGGCTGGCTGGTGCAGAGGGAAGCTTCCCCTTTTACATGTAAGAAGTAAACATTTGTGAGAAATAGACATGATTTGCATGAAGAGTGATGAGAAGTGTTCCTCTAACGAGGCATTTGAAACCATGATGATTCAAGAATTAGTGTGATAAGTGCACTTTAAAGGCTATGCATAAGATATAAAAGATGTATGATTAGATGCAATTAGCAGAAAGGCTATTGCATACAATCACCTTCAACTTCATATGCTGAGAGGGGAAAGCAAGAACCCATGCAAGGAGGAGAACCTTCACAACTGTGAAGTACACAGACAGTCCTATTATCAAAGAATAAGGAGGCTTTATATTTCCAATTAGAATGAAAACTAATCTTTATGAAGCAGAACCGAAATCACTTTTTTAAATAACTGCAATAGTTAAAACCCAAAAGCTGAGATGAAGTGCGGGATATAAACTGCTGAAGTGCAAAGGAAGCTAAAGCTAGTGAGAAGCATCTGAAAGTGTCTAACTGGTCAGCCATCCTAATGGCCTATTTCACTGTAGTCTATTAATAACACAAGGAAAATTGCAAGTTTTGTAAATATGCATGTTTTTCCCAGTCAAGAATAGTTTGCAGTTTTCCTGTGAAGTCAGGAAGCTTTTTCGTTACATTCTGAAAAGTCAGTTTAACTCTTAAAATGGCACATGATTTGATCCGTATGAATTTTATTTATTTATTTATTTATTTGGGGAGGGGGAAGAGGTCCAGTGATGGTAACATGCAACTGAGAATCGTTTTTGGGATAACTAGTTAACCAGGAGTTAGAGAATTTGAGGAGCTGATGGGCATTTGATTAACAACTTCATTTGCTCTTCTATAAAATTTAAATAATCTTGGAAGCAAAAGTCCTGTAGTAATGGCTGAAAAATGAACATTGCTTGTATGTTTTTAGAAGTATGGTAGAAAATGCAAAGTATGCGTTAATGACTTTTTACATGTGGAAGATAGGGAGGAAGAAGATGCTAGGTATTTATTAACTATATTTTGTTTACCAAATATCTCCTTAGATGACAGCCCTGCAAATTTAACTTTGATTATGAGAACTTGTCTATGTAAGGTTGGATTGGTTTCACTGAAATCAATTTTAAAAAAATCATCAGGTTAGGTCATTTCTTTCCCATCAGAGATCCTGTGGACAAAATGATGTCCTACAGTCTCATTGCTTTTATTGCATTCTATTTAAACTTGATTTTGTAACAAAAACATCTAGGCAAAATTATTAAGAATCAAGTGTCTAAACTGGGTTAAGACTGTCCACACTAAGTTTGACGCTAATTAACTACATCAACTTAAAAAGATAAGCAGCATTTAAGTAAGTGGTACTTTGAATACAAGACAGATTTTCATAGTAATATAATACAGGATAATTTTAAGGCATAAAATATTCTGTCTCACTTTTTTATTACTGCCTGTTCAGGTTCCCTGTAATAAATAATATAATTACTCTACAGTCAGGGAAAATGCTGTTCTGTCATCTGCAGTTGTCCCACATGCAAACATTCATCAACTGCAAGGACAGTTTGCGCACAGGCAATACCATATATGATCAGCGTAATAAAGGTTGCTACAGTGTTTATTTACCAGCAGATGAATTACTTGCAGAAAGTCTTCAGTTGGCAGAAGCAGCTGTTTTGTAAACAACAGAACAAGCTTATTTTCTCACCTATTTGTCTACATGTTCTTTGAAATCCTCCTTTATCCCATTTCTGTAACTGCCAGCATCTTCCCATGACTTACATTTCTTGAGCCATCCTCTCGTAGCAATAAACCAGGAAATATCATGGCTAGCAACAAGTTGTTTTGCCAGTCAGATGCTACCAGAAAATAACATATAATGGACAAGTTATGTCTTCTCTTTCAGCAGAAGCACTAACAGCAACATTCAATCTGTATGCCACCACTGATTATGGAAAAATTCAAAATTATCTTGAAGATCACTGCCCTTTCAATCAAAGCAGTTTGCCAATAAATTTGTCAAAAAGTTATTAACAGGAAAAGTAACACTTGGAGAGAAATGGACAGACCAAGTTTGATTGCTTAAGCGTTATTTTGTTAGGATCTCAGCCAATAAAATCACCTGTGAAAATGCACCAGACCCATTCATATCTATAAAAATATTTGAAAACCCAACTGAACAATATTTACATAATTATATAAACAGATCACTGTGATCATAAGCAGTTATTTGTCTACATTCCTTGCACATTCAAACAGATAAATATCTTAGGTAAAACAAGTTTATTAGCATTTACTTCAAATCCAAGTGTTAACTGCATACAAAACACAATCTTCCCAAACAGAGTGGCATGGATTTTAACAACTTAAAGGTTAACAAAACAAAACATTTCAAATTCCTCACATTTTTCACAAAAGCACAAGACCATCCTGGGACTTCTCAACAAGAAAATCTATCAAAATCAGAAACTCTTCTTTCCCCTATAGCTTAGCACTCTTGATGAAGGATACATTTTGAGCCTCACTGGCTGTCAAATTCAAGTTAACTGAGTAGCCAGAAGAATAATTCAGCGCATACTGCTCTAGTTCCCCAAACTATGCTCTTTGTCCTCTATGTCTGTTTTCCTTCTGTATTTATCTACAGATAGTATTTAGGCTCTCTCTTCAATGTGTCTTATGCGCCTGCCATGCTTCCTTGTGAAACCTCCCACTCAGATGAGGAGAGGCTCAGTCTTAAAATAAATTTTAGCTCAGCAGCCTTCAAGTGTTGCCCACAGAAGAAAAAAACGTGGATTCAAACTTCACTCACACTGATTTGATGTGAAGGAACCGGACAGCTAGTATTGATAGCACCATCCCTGAGCAAACAGTTGCTGTGTATTCACAATACTGGATGCCACTTCAAACCAATAAGCAGGTTTCTTCCAGTTGGGAACAACATTGAAGCCAGCTGACTTGGTGTCTCAGCTTTCTTTCCACTGTGCTCCCAGGCCAATTAGGCAAGCAGCTGGTAGCCTGAGGCACTGAGCAGCTCTCAAGCTGTTTCCCTGCCCAAAAGCTGCATTAAACACATGATTGGCCTAACTACTGAACCAGGGCAGGACGGAAATCCTACTCACTATTGACTCCATTCTCCTCTGATGAAGAATGAAAACTGAACAGCAGCTTAAAAATGAACCATAATTATGTCGCAAAGTTAATGTCCTGATTCATTTTCAAATTATATACACCCACCATGTACACGTAGCCTTCATCCTTCACTGAAATGCAGCCCCCTCTGGGAGCTGTTTAGCAGCACGCTACTTACAAACCAGAGCAGTGCTGCTGTATGTGGATATCAATACTTCAGGGATGGAGAGGAGGAGAGAAAGAATCAATGGTGCTATGACTACACCCAGTTAAAACTGCAGGAAAAATATAGATCGAATTAATAAAAAAATGCCTAAAGTCTAATTTGTTCAAGGCATCAGTATTAACATACCAACTCTTTCAAAGATCTTTAAGAATAACAACAATCTATACTGCTCTAGTTTTAAGTCTTAGTAACAGCAGAACCACTACACTAGTTCTTCAGCAACTTTGTGACTCAAAGACCAACGTTTTGGGCAAGCCTTTGGTTTCTCCTACTTTATTGTCCCCTGTAAAAGCGTTCCATGAAGCCTGCTGTCTCTCTATTGCTGATTAATGAATGTTTACTCCTCTCCAAGGCAATTCTGGGTGAACCACTGGGTGGAGGGGGAGTGTCAGTAAAGTGCAGCAAACCTACCTTCCCGCTCCAGTAACTACAGTGCTCTTCAAACCAGTCCAGGGGACTTCAGATTCTCTCAAGTGTGACTGCTTACAACTATCTCTATGTGACCATCCTTTAAATTGTAATTAACTATTCTGTTTTCCATTAGCATATGTAAATATACATATTACAATCAACATCAAGAAACAAGGAAAGCAAAATGCTGGCTATATGATAGAAGTACAAACTGTTAGTCTTGCAACGTCTCTGTTTATCAGAGGTGAGTGACTTTCCACTGGCAAAACAAATACAACTTAAGTGTGAAACAATACAACACAGGCACATTTACCCCCATCGTACCATATTTTTATTAAGAAAAATAATAAAAGGATTGCTAAGAAACAAAACTGCAATATTAGTTATGATTTTGCAGTCACCAGCAAAACCTGACTCTAGTGAGAACGTTGGTATTCAAGCAGCAGATGACTGCCCTTAGACAGAGGCTATTTGGTCCTATTGTGTCCCCCCCCACGCTATTGTCAATCATTTCACATCTCCAGAAATTCTGGTTAACAAAGATACCATTCGGGGAACCACAATTCTGGAAATCACCGCTAATGCCATATGCAATAGCCATAATTTATTCTCCTTAAAAAGAGTACCTTGGACGTTTTGCTTTCTTCTTTTCTTAGAACTTATCTGTGCAGCTCAGAACAGCTTACCTAACTAAAAACATCTTAACGCTTAAGATATTTTAGCTATTTGCATTTTAGACAAAAGACTATTGGTCTCATTTGCAAATCTAGCTATCTTTAATCAGCCTATGAAATATCTACTAAAACTT